GTGTTGTAAGCAGTCTCATGACATGAAATGTTCTTTCTAAAAAACAAGACAAAACAGAAAACTGAAACTCACATGCTATTTTCATGCCAAAATGTTTTGGAAGCCTGCATCTGGGTTTATAATGGAAGAGTCAGCTGCATCTTACTGCTGACAATTTTCTTCTGCCATTTCACAGATACAAACCCAAGAAAATGCACTGTGCACAACTCTGGCTGGATGTCAAACACCCACCAATGCCACTCTGTCACTCCCCTCTGCAACTGGAGAGGGGAGAAAAAATATAATGAAGGTTCATGAGTTGAGATAAGGACCTGGAGAGATCCAACACCAAATACCATTATGGGCAAATGGGCTGGAATTAGAGATACTAATTGAATTGACTACTTACAAAATCAGAGCAGGATAATGAGAAGTAATATAAGACTTTACAAACACCTTCCCCCACCGCTCATTTCTTCTCAGCTCTACCTCCTTCCCTCAGTGGCAGAGGGAGACAGGGAATGGATATTTGATCTGTTCATTGCATGTTGTTTCTGCTGATGTTTCAGCATGGTATCCCTCCCACAGGAGAAAATTCTTCATTAACTTCTCCAACCATCCCAAGGGGAGCAGTCCTCCACAAACTGCTGCTATGTGGGCCACTCTTTCATGGGGTGCAGTCCTTCAAGAACAGGCTGGTCCAATGTGAGTCCCCACGGGATCACAAGTCTTACCAAGAAACCTGCTCTAGTGTGGGCTTCTCTCTCCATGGGTCTGCAGATCTTTGCCAGGACTGTGCTCTGTCATGGGCCTACCAGAGGTTCACAGCTTCCTCTCACGTATCCACCTACGCTAGTGTGGGGTTCCTCCAAGGGCAGCAGGTGGATCTCTGCATCCCCCTGGACTTCCATGGGCTGCAGGGGCGCAGCTGCCTCACCATGGTCTGCACCACGGGCTGCAGAGGAATCTCAGTTCAAGCAAAATGGAGCAACTTCTCCCCTTCCTCCTCCTTCTCCAGTGACCTTGGTGTCTGCAGAGTTGTTCCTCTCTGTTCTCAATCTGCTCTTCTCTGGCTGTAGTTACATCTGCACAATAACTTCTTTTTATTTTCTTCTTAAATATGTTATCACAAAGGTGTTACCACCATTTCTGATTGGCCCAGCCTTGACCACTTTTGCTGTCTGATTGACATAAATTCTCTGAATAAACTAAAAATATAAAAAAGTTGTCTGTTGGGAGCATAAACAAATGGAGATCTTGCTTTTTTTTCTGCCTGAAGATGTAGAGGTTTTTTGTTCCAAGTCAACAAACTGTTGTGTGGAGTTGGCTTATTTCAGGGCTGTGATCACAGTTCTTTTTATTTATACTCCATTAGGACATGAATGTTCCTGGCACAATTATGGTGACATGATACAGGAGACAGTGCAAACACAGGGTAAAAATCGGCATGTGCTGTTACAACTTTGCAGTCTGAACTGACAAAACATGGAGAAACTGAAGGCGCAGAAAGGTGAAAAGACCCATTGAAGGTGGAACAACTATGTCTTAAGTTGCAAGCTGAGGACAAACCTGAGACCAGGCTGTAGTTTATTTAATCTCAGAGTTTTTTTGTAATTTCACCCAAATTAGTGAAAAATGAAACATTCCTGTCATCTGCTGAGCCCTGAATAACAGCTGAAAGAGTAATCTTCTGGGGAATTAGTTTTACAACAGTGGTAAAATCAGCTTTGGAGAATTTGAGAAAGGAGAGTTGGATCAGATGTTGCTTACTGATTCCTAGCCCAGACCTGGCTAATTCTCCCAGCTAGGATAAAACTCAGGTAGATCTAGTCACCTCTTACCTAAAGCCGTGAGATCTCTGAAATGTCATAGCTTGATAGAACTAACAGTATGGATTGGTTTGGAACCAGCTTTGCATTATAAACTTAACCATTCTGTCTGTTAAGCAGTGCTGGAAAACCCTCTAAATTTCTCTTGTCCCTAGAGTTTACTGTAAATATTTCTGCTATTTTGGACAGAAGAGCAAGCAGCAAATCCATTTTAGCACCTTTTACTACTTGCCCTTGGCCAGTGCTCTCTGTGGAAGGACAGGCAACATTTTGCCCCAGATTAGTAAATATCTAAGGATATGCATAGAAGTCCTAGTGTAAATAAGAAATAAATCCTAGAACTAAGGTTATTTATGATTATAAACTGAGATTATGCCCAGAACAAACACAGAGTCAATAGCTCAAGTGCCTTTTAACCCAGATGTACTCTGTGGTGAGCAGTGCAGACTTTGTAAGTCTGGGCACAATAATGCCACAGTCTAAATATTCTCCCAGCTGAATAAAGCCAATGTTACTATATCCCATAGGATATACACTGGCTGTATTTTAATAGTTTGCATAATATGGTCTTGAGGCAAGAATGGACTGAGTAATCTCTCTCCACTCAATATTTTCCATTCATATAGGTTTTGCACGTAAAACATTTTATTTTTTTCATTTTCCTCTTTCTTTTTTAGTTTTCCCAGTGTGACTTTGAAGTGTTTTGATTTTAGTAATACTTTGCCAGTCTATCTCATTATATTAATACTTCTGCTTTTCTTTTGTGGAATTAGTATGTCAAAGGAATTTAACTTGCATTGTGAGGATATGAGCCTTTGTTGTGAAAATGGACACTTTAATAGGTGATTGATAATACATAGATTATGACTGGAGCAACTAAGAACTCGTTAGAAACCAGAATAAGCTATTTCAGGGGCTTTTTCATGATTTTTTCTGCTTCATAGGAGAGCTTGTCAGAAGTATGTACGAACTTGATATCCTGCTCCTGGCTGCAGGGTGATCGGGAGCCAGTGACACATATTCTATTCAAAGATGTTCATTAGTTTGATTGAAGTGCTAAGTCCTTTGGGACCTCAGACTCGCAGTTGTGTACAGACAGAAGGGCTTGGCTACGCTGCTGGAAGAGGGGAGAAAATTACTGCGCTTGTGTTGGGCAATTCATGGTTCAGGGGGAGTTGCCTCTGCCATTAGAGCCAGAAGCGTTCCAGTAACCTGTGCTGCCTGTGATTCTCATACAAATGAGCTTAGGTTATTTTTGTGCTGGGCTGGGGGCTCACTGATTGTGTTTTACCCAGCACATGCACTGCGCTATTAGGCAAAGGAGCACTTGAAGGAAGCTGGGCACATGTTGAAAAGCTGATTGCTGCCCGGAGGGACAGCAGCCGCAGCAGGGGAGCAGCAGGCACGCAGGCAGCATGGCTCGGCTGCTTTTCAACACACACTGACCTAGATTTCCCTGTTGGGACAGGCTGGTGTGAACCCTGGGCCAGTGTGGAAAGCAGTGTTCCTTCTCAGTCTTACCAACACTGCTACAGCTGCAGTTTTATACTCGCAGTGCACAGCTCCTTGACAGAGCATCAATCTGTCCTCCTGTTTCACCTTCTGGCCATTAAGAGGTGGGGTTTTGGCTGTATACAGACTTTCCCTAAAGAATTTTATGGGGCAAATAGAGAATTTTATGGGGCAAAAAGCAGCTACTGTTCCCACAGGAAATTCTATGTACTTTGCAAGTGTCTGTATCAAATGTTCTTTGTCAGAACAAGAACGGCCAGTTCCCAGCCTATCCTTCACCAGACAGTGATTATTCATCAGCACTTGTTCACTTGAGGCATCTCATTCAAAACACACACCCTATTTTTCCTTTTTGTCTTCTTCATTCTGTATAATTTTAAACTATCTGACATTTCTTATCAGTAAAATGCTAATTTTATTGGAGAAGGGGTGGCATTTCTTCTGCAATGAGGAAAGACATTAGTTAAAACTGATATATTTTAAGGAATCTTAACTAAAGTAGGTTTCCTAATCTTGACGAGTTGCAGTAAGACTTGGGCATTTTATCTTAAAATCCCAGCCTAAAAATACACCCATGTGACCTCTGAGAAACTGCCTAAAGCCAGTGGTAAGAATTTATCTTGGCAGATAACCAACATCTTCCTATAGTATGAAAGGAAACTAGCTCTCTTCTGAGCTAAATGTTAACTCAGATTGGGAACTGAAAAAAAAAATGTAGGAGAATACAAAGATTTGAAATTACTTTAGATATAAGGAAATTGTTTTATTGAATAAATGCATTTAACTGCAGGTCCCAATCCTGCAGGTTAGCAATGTTCCTTGTCCAACAGCCAGGGAAAGTTCTTTGAATTTGACATAATAGGCAGCTAGTTACTGCCTCCAGTAATAACTGCAGGTACCCAAAAATTTTGAAATAATTTTTTAGTGGAAAATTAATAAGACTAGGGGGAGGTGTACTGGTTCTGAGGGTATTTACTTGCATCAAAAGTTTTTGCTGTCAGCCAGAGCCAGCATCCCAGTGAAAAAGAAGGAAAAAAAAAGAAAAAGAAACTTCATCTTTTGTGTTATTTCCATTTTCTGTTCTTTGTGATTATTTTGAGTGTTCTGAGGCTTCTAATATCTTGTACTTTCTGTGAAAAAAATTCCATAAATGGAAAGGGAATATTTTAAAATTCACTGCAATTTTGACAGGAGAGGAGAACCCTTTTTTTACTAGTATTGCAATGAAAATGTGCATGGCCCATGTCTATTTTAGGTGATTTGTAGGAGACTTTTCAGGTACTTGTTATTTCAAAACCCAAGAAGTAATATTTAGTTGGTATTCAAATAATTATTATACATAATTTCTTCAAATACTTACATACTTGTAAGTATGATAATATATTATTTTTAATCTTTCTATGCTTACAGCCCCCCTCAGACCTAATATGTGCAGAAATTGGTGTCAGAAAATGATTGTGTGTTGTAGAATGACCATTTAATAGTCATCTGGGAATTACCTGAAGTACTTCACAACTTTGTTTACATACCCACACCCCCACAACTATGAAAATTAATTCTATAGTTGATTTGGGAATATATTTGGTCTCTGTACATCAGACATCTTGACATATTATGCTTTCAGAGCTTTTATTGTAATTCCTAGGCTTCATAAATACTTTTTTTTTCTTCTCTCCTCAGAAATTTTTCCAAGAGATTCCAGTCTAAAAGACAAGTTCATAAAACATTTTACAGGTAAGGCAGCTGCCTGGTTTTTCCACATGTCCATACTCTAAGTAGCTGCAAATGTCACACCACTAATTTTTTTGAGGCTCAACATTTCTGAGGCTAACATTTCTGAAGTTAAATGTGCATATTTTAGAAGTAGAAATTTTTGAAGAATTCTAGTTTCATTGAATAATCAACTGAACTATCTGGTCTAAAATAACTTTCAAAATGTGGCAAGTTAAAACATTATTTAAAAGTCATTGCTTAACTTTTATCCTCCTATTGTGCTTTCCATACTTATTTTCACACTCACTAATTTTAGAACTTCTCATTGGACTGTAGATATTTTTAAGAAACAGACCTTTGTGGCCACATAAATTTTTACCAAATCAGGGAGGATTTTTTGCATCTGTCTCATGATATCTATGTGTGGATACTTATTTTAATAGTGGAAACAGATAGAACAAGGAAGAATTAAATTAGTGTAAATGAAATATAGAAAATAACTTGCTGTTTCAGGTATGAAAGTTTATGATGATAACAACCAAGTACTTGAAAACTGAGGAGCTGTATAATGCACTTTGGGACTGTATTGTAACTTCTGAGAAAAATATTGTACTCTCTGAATATATGCAATACATGTTGCCAATGACAAGGTGCTTGCACTGGTTCTTTGCTCTCCAGTTCCAGCTTTCTGTAATTCAGAAAAGTGAAGGTCTCAAGGTGTGACACTGCAAATCTCATGGTGATTTTCAGGGTTATATGAAGTATTAAAACTAAAAGCTAGACAAATATTTGGATGTCAGAGCATGAAAAAGAGAATTGGAAATAATTATGCATTTGCTCATTGCTGGAAATTTCAGGCAGTGCTTGACAAGAAAGGAAGGTATTTGTTGTCTCTTTTGCATGGGGGAAGTGTATTCCAGCCCTTGGGATAGGCATAACTTTAAGGATCTTTCTGCCAATGGCTCACTGCAACCCAACAGAATCTACAGGAAATGTGCCAGAGCCAGCTGGCCCTTCACCCTTGCAGTAAACAAGAGTAATTGTGAACCTGATCATTTTCAGTCCATATGAGAAAGAAATCAACATAGAGCTTCAAACTATGCTGTGCTATGTGACAGAGCAACACTAAAGATTCCTCTCCTGGAAAGAACAGAAAAGAGAGATTTGTTTATGTTAGTACTTAATCTATTTCCTTTTCATTTTTAGCTTTGGAAACTCCTCAGCTACCATAAAAAGCTCAACATAAGAATCTGGGGAAGCTAAGTAATGAATACAGATTGAGTTTCATTACTCAAAACCAGGGAAAAACAGCCATGAGTTTTACAGAAGTTATTGTGAGAGTGGTAAATCACAGAAAAGAAAAAAATACTTTAAGGCCTGTCTCTGGACCCATTCATGAAATTAATAGTCCTTTTCTGCATGAATTTTATTTAGTTGCCATCAAAATTGCTGAAATTACTTGAGTAAGATTAGTTGGAATGAATGAGGAAAGCAGGATCATTCCAAAGTACTGAAAGTTTATTTGTTGACTCAGAATTTCTGCCTACAGTTAGTTTCTTTCTTTCTTTTTCTTTCCTTTTCTTTCCTTTTCTTTCCTTTTCTTTCCTTTTCTTTCCTTTTCTTTCCTATCTATCTATCTATCTATCTATCTATCTATCTATCTATCTATCATCTCTTTTTCTCTCTTTCTCCCTCTCTCTCTCTCTTTCTCTCTTTCTTTCACTCTTTTTTTTAATATATCTTAAGATCTTCAGGGGTGGAGTTTTCTGCCTGTTGTTTTGTATTTTATTTTATTTTTCATAGTTTTACTAGATCTTGTAATCCATAGGCATTTTCTTAAAATACAGTGGATTTTGTTATTCTGTTCCTATCATAATCGTCTAGTAGCCTTCATTAATTAAACTGTTTGATTACAGTTCTTACTAGTTCAGAATTAGGACATCCAAAACTAATGAAGTGGTGAAAAGAAAAAAAAGAAAGAAGCTGAAATCAACATTACATTTACAGTACATTATCTTTATAGTTTCAGGGTTAAGAAAATTATTGCACACTTCTCATATGCCAGGAATAATAGACACATTTTAAAGCCAAATAAGAACCATATGTAACAGTCCTTGACTATAGGAAAAATCATAAATAATCTTGTGGGTCATAAAGTAATCTATCAATTTAGCTTGGAGAGCCAGCTGACACAGAGTGTTTTGTAAGACACAATAAAATTAACAGCCTATTTTTGATGACAGGGAAGAGAGCTAGAAAACCATATATTATCTGAAGGGACATGGAATTTATTTAGTGACAAAAGCCAGTGTTTCCATATATGCTGGATAATTTAAAATTACATACTTTTCCTTGAGCCTAATTACTCACTTAGAATAAAAAAATGGCCACAATATTCCAGTTCAGACTTGAAAAGGCTGCTCTTCCAGTTTGTTGAAAAGCTTATTTGTGGCTTAAAAAACCTACTGAAACCCATGTATACTGTAAAATAAATCTAATCTTCAAGTATGTTCACTGTCATAGAGAGGAATCGTCTCTGGAGCTCATGGCAGCTTGGCTTCGTTATCTAGAGAGAATTTGCTTGATGTATTTTACCAGGCTCATAAACCATCTTTCAAGTTATGAAACAAGTATTTTTTTCCCAGAAATGCTTCTTGGTTTCCTCTGAAAGGAAAGTTGGCCAACAAAGTCTGCTTCATGTGAATAATTTTGTAGCATTGCTTGAAGCAAGCTATTCTTATTCAGGGTTCCTACTTGTACTAAATTTGCATTTAAATTTAGCCTTATTGACATAACATCAGTTCACGTCAATGTTTTCTGTCCAAATCATAGGATACTCATCCCCAGCTGTCAGTGGCAGTCTTGCTAAGCAGGTTACAGGATGAAAATATTGCATTTTTGCTCTCCTTTTCATCTTGAATGTCACCAGTAACACTTTCTGGGGCCATCAGCAATTTTGGAAGGGGTCTTTGGCAACTTGTTACAGTTGAGCCATGTTTTATAGAAAATAGACCCATAGAATGGTTTGGATTGTAAAGAAGCTTAAAGACCATCTAGTTCCAACCCCCTGGCCATAAGCAGGGGTGCTTTTTAAATCAAATATTAATATAAACAGATGACACTCTATATCCAAAGAAGAGAGCAGTACACTACACCCTGGACATGCAGGGATTTGCCTTCCCAAAGATGAAACATATCCTGCATTCTGCACATTGTATGCTTTTTTACTGGGATTATTTAACAGGAGATCAGGTTCCTAGATGTTATTCAGCTGTCATTTTTTTCCCTCAACACCCACACTGTATATTAAGAATTTTATAAACCATCCATGTGCAAATTAAAAGCATTAGTACATGAAAGTACTTCATCTTTCCAGGGGTTAGAAACTCATATTTGCTTAAAATGTTGCTTTTATTTATCTTTACAAATAGTATCCTCAGTCCAGGTGCATTATTCCTTCTACATTAGACTACAGACAACCATTGAACAAACTAAATTCTATTGTAATTGTCATTCTATTTTTTGCCATATAAGAAATTTTACTGCTAATTTTGAATTACTGGAATTTCAAGGCTAAACCAGCCCATTATTTTAATGTGCCATTTTTCTGTTTTCTATATCATGAGCATAAAGGCACAGCAACAGAACTTCTTTCTGTTATTTCACTAGCATTATTATACTTGTGTTGCATCATAGTTGTTTAAGGCATATTAAAAGACTAAATGCAATTTTAGCCAAGAGAAAGAGAACTTAATGCTATGTGTTGTTGTCATTCATTGAAGCTGTGGAGCAGTGACACTGAGAGCTTGTTAACTCCTCCTTACTTTCAAACAGGGCCAGTCACATTTTCCTCAGAGTGTAGCAAGCACTTTCATCGACTCTATCACAACACAAGGGACTGCTCAACACCAACCTGTAAGTAGCAAAGTACTTTTTAATGCTAGCTCTGATACTTGCTTGAAAGCAACACACTTTATCTATTAAGAGTTTGATGTCCTGGTCCTTTTTTAACAGTTACTCTTTAGCACTACATTAAAAAGCATACCCAAGGTCTTCTAATATATAAAGATTTTCTGTTAATGTCCTTGCTGTCAGCTGAACATCATGGAGTTCCTTCAAAGTGATGTTGAAACATATGAAATGAAAACTACACTGAAAAAAACCAGTAGGACATGCTTATGCAGAGGGCAGATATTCTCCTTCTTGCTTGCTCTCTTTAGCTTTCCTTGTGCAAGATAAAATCGGAACCATTCTTTACCTTCTATTAATGCTTAATAGTAGAGTTGTATCTTTGAGGTTTAATATATTTAAGCTTGTGAGTATAATTTTCTATTATATGCCCATTGTTAAACAACATAACATAATTTATCAAACAAAATCCCCAAACCAAAATGGAAATTCCTTAAATAGAAGTTACTTCAGCATTCTCTAGTGCAATGGACAGTTCAATAACAGTCACTGGAAAAGAAGCAGTGTGTTTTAATTAGAGAAGGTGAATCTCATTAGGGATGTGTAAGCACAAACTGTGGGCAAAGTTTGGTGCTTTGGAAGCTTTTCAGGATTTAACATGAAAAAGCAATGGCACTTTCTGGCTGCATCACTTAGAAGCACTGTTTGTGAGCAGCTGAGATGCGTAGCTCAGCACATCAGAGGACTTAGTGTTTGAAAGGGGGTGGAGCAGCCCTCATCTTCATTTGCCTTTACACTTATCAGAAGCTGGAATATAGGAATCCATGGCTGATCCTCAAAAGTTATACATGCAGCTTTCTAAGTAGACACAGGAGTAGGCAAGGCATATTTCTGTTACATGCTGTGCAATAAAAATACCATGTTGCATGTTGTATGCCTTGACACATGGATCCAGAGCATGTGAATATTATTCAGACTCTTATGTATCGCCTGAGTGTTTCACTTTATTTCTAAAGAAACACAGTAACATTATTTTTCTTCTAATTAAATAGCCTTTCTTAAAGTTAAAAACAAGACTGTGATTTTGAATGGTATGAATTACTTATTTTTTTAGTTCAACTATCAAAGCAAATTGTAAAATTACAAGGGTGATTTAAACCATAGCAGAGTTTTTGTTCCCCCTTTCATCAAGCAAATCCAAAGCAGACAATGAGTTACATTCACCTGAAATGTTCTGTTCTAAAAAGGAAAGCTAAATCTTCAGATTTGTCTCCACCTTATCTATCACTCAGGCTGATCATAGCCAAGATCTTTCCCTGTGTCTTTAGAAGGGTTTTATATTTTCTGTCAGGGACACGTTAGTCATCATGGGATGTCTGAGGATGAGTTATTTCCTCTCATGACATGGTTATACGTTGTACAAATATTTTCTGAGGAACTGAAACCCAGATAGCAATCACTTTCTTGCCATTTGGCACAATTTATATTAAGTTTTATTAAAATACTTATCAAGCAAGAGAAGCACCCATGTATTTCTTGTTAACAAATATCAGAAAGGATGGCAGTGACTTGGGGTCCACTTGAACCAAGTGGTCATTTGAACCAAGGGCACACGACAGGGGTATTGGAAGTGGGAGGTTAGTATCTTTAGTCTGATGATTAGGAGATGTACTTAAATGTGAAAAATATGGAATTAAATCAGTGTTAATAATAAATGGAACAATAAAATATTTGAAACAGCCTGACTTCTGACTATGTTATAGTGATGGTTACAATAGCCTCCCAGTTAATAAATTAAATTCCCAGTCTTCCACACCCCAGTAGAAAACTTCCTGGAGGAAATTTAATTCCTTCCATCATTTGTACTTTTCCTCTAGAGTGCTGATTATGCTAAGGTACAACCTAATATTGCATCTTGCACACATAATTTCATGAATTTCCATCAGATAACAGTTTCACTGTGTAGAGTTCTGAAATTCAAGTACAAACTTTATATTTAATTTTATGCAGTTTTTTGAGGGTAATATTGCATCTTGCACACATAATTTCATGAATTTCCATCAGATAACAGTTTCACTGTGTAGAGTGTCTGAAATTCAAGTACAAACTTTAATTTTATGTAGTTTTTTGAGGGTGTCTGGCAACTGAGATTCATAATTGCTGTGGGTAATTCTGTTTTATAGATTACAAAAGGTGTGCAAGATTGCTAACGAGATTAGCAATGAGCCCTTTGTGTACACAGTCCTAGGATGTTTGCTATGTAAGTATAATTTTCCCCACTCATTTTCTTATTTGTTGAATGGTCTTGTGGTTTACTTCACACTTATACCTTGTTATCAGGTGTGCATACAAAAATGTGGTATTATCAGAGTGTATCAACATGCAGCTTTTGCATTGCAGAACTGACTGGCTCCCCCTGGAAATACATAGAAGCACAAATACCTCTGACAAGCCCCAGTGTAATTTCCTACAAGTCACTTGTGACACTGCAGTCCATAGCTATGCACTGGGTGGCCTCTTACTGTTCAAAATTTCAATAAGGAGTCTGCTTGGTGAAAGCAAAATGCTCAAGGGCATCATCAGCACATTTATTTCAAGCCATTCTGCAGAGGACTTTGTTGTTAATCCATGGAAGAAAGAGAATGTCTTGGTCTCAGTCTACCAATGCAGTCTTCATAGATACCCTGTCAATTAATTTCTGGGAGCCCTTTTCATTCCCATATTCTGAGAATTTCTGAAAAGTTGATAACCACTTCATAGTGGTGGAAGGAAACTTAACATAAAGATATGGGAAGCTAAAGGTTTCACTAAGTAGTCTGAGAAAGAAACCAGTCCATTCTTTTTTATGAATAACATGTCAAATGTCAGTTACACAGCACTGTCACTGATGAAAGTAACATCTCCAAGTGAGCTGTTTTATCCTGTTGTTTGAATAATAATAAGATGTTTATACTTTCAAAGGTTAATTTGTAAATACACACACTGGTTGTTATTATTAACCACTAAAATGTATAAGCTAAGTGAATTTTATTTATTTAAATTTCTTTGAAGATGGTTTCCTTTCACCACCTCCTCCTGACAAATACTGCAAGCTTGGAGCTTGGGGGAGTTGTGTATGTCACTTCTTCCTGCATCAAGACTTCAATTCATACTAATCAAGAATAAGAAAAGAGTAGGATATGAGTCAGTGTTAGCTGATTTGATTTCTCAGTGGAGGTGGGATTCATTTTGGTGGCTGTGCTTTAAAGAATATGGCAATATTTCACTTATGAGAAGAAATGACATAATTTCTTTCTCTTAATAATTTCTTCATTATTTCTTTTCTTCTTAACAATTTTCAGTCTCTGTGGCCTCTTGATTTCCAGGTGTTGAATATACCAAGGACAGCAAACCAGAGATTGACTAGGCATTTCCTTACTTTGTCTGTATCTCCTTTTCATGACTCAAGGCAGGAATCCTTTTCTGAAAAGGATTAAAAAGAAAAACAGTTGGGAGGGGTACTTAAATTCCTGTTTGTTTTTTAGTATCCTCTTTTAAAACTCAGCTTTCTCAAACATCCCTCCATTATCTTACTTTCTGCAGTTTTACCTTTTTAGTCTCTGTTTTTCCTTTATCTGTATACATTTCCATCTCTAGATTCATGTATCAGGGCTTTCAGAGAGATTTCTGGTGTTCCAAATTTTTTTCTTTTTCTTTTAAGAGAATGAGTCAAAGATCTGCCTACATATCCACAGTACAGAAGCATCTATCTCATCCTATTTCCATCTTTAAAACACAAAAGGATCAAAATTTGCTATGATTTTCAAAGCCAGGTGTTTTAATTTGCCTGCCAAAAATACATTCAAATACATGAAAAATAGGGAAGAGAGGTTTTAAATGGTAAGCACTGCTAGCAGCTCATGTGCACTGCATTCACTTAAAGTTGTATCTAGGCTAGTTTTCGCTCTACTTTTTGAAAATAGAGAAAACATTATAAGAAAAAGTAGAGCCATGATCTGAATGTTCCCCAGCTGTCTCTGTGCTCCCTCACCCCATTCCTCCACTAAGTACAGGAGATAGTTTCCATCATAAATGAGACATCCTCAGATCTTCATGTTTAATCATATCCACTGCTTCTTGGAATGGAAACATTTTCTTGAGAAAGGTGAAGAGTGGTGGGAGTTGCTCTCTCTGTTCACTGTTAGTAGGGAGTGCAACAAAGGAGTTACATACATTCATCCCTAAAAAACATTGCATTTCTAACATGATTCTCTGATTGCTTCTACTTCATCTTTTGGCACAAGGGATCTGCTTTGCTCACCACCCTCATACTAGCATAGAGAGGACATGGCCATAGATTCTGTTGCCTGTAAGAAAATTTGCCATCACTTTAACATCTGACAGTCTTGGGGATTCTTGGTTGCCTTGAAGAAGGAGGTTCTCTCACTTGAAGAACTGACACCTATTTTTAAGCATTTTCCTGCCAGTACTAAAATAGGCTGCCTTTTCCTCATTAAAAGAAAAGCTACAGTGCTATTATGCAAATATTTTCCTTCCTCACCTGTAAATATCCGGCTATACAAAGAAGACGTGGTCTTTTCCTCCTCGAAATGAACTTTAGCTTGGGGAAGGGCAATCGCCTGCCCGCGGATCTGGCAGCGCAAGCCGTGGCGGGATGTTTCAGCACCATGGAGAGGCGCCGGCGGCTCCGGGGCCGGGATTCCGGGCACATGCTGCCCTTGCAGCTCTTAGAGGTTTGGGTGGGTCTGTTTTCACTTCCTGAGTCAGATCCCTGCAAGTGGAAGTAAAGCATTTGGTGAAACCCAGAATGTAGAGCTGCATGTGGCTGTGTGCATGGGGAGCTCGCCTGCAAGGTGCAGCAGCGCAGACCTCCATGTGTTAAACCTCTTGGCACTGAGGATTTGCCCAGGCAAAACTCATTAGTGTTCACAGGAGGCAAAGACCCACTGGCATTTGAAGTTAATCTTACGGTTTATGCAAGCCACAGGAAACTGTGGTTTATGAACAGAATTTTGCTAAGCAGTCTGCTTCTCTGGTTTGAAACTAGATATAAAATGACATGTCATTTTCTCTTGCAGACTTTCTACCAAGGAGAGAATTCTGCTTTGCCAAGAAAGTGCCTTGAAATCTTCAAAAATGGAGACACATCTTTTATCTTTTTGATTTACAATGTTTTGTTACTAGATGCATTTTATTTTCATATATTTGTCCGACATTCCATATTTGTGTGAAACATTATTTTATTTTGTAAATTTGTTGCCTATAGTTCAGACAAGCCAATTATTTAAATACATTGTATATGAAGAATACTAATGATATACTGATTAAATGTTATAACCGTATGCAGGGAGTTGGTAAAATTTTGCTGTTTCTCTTGTTCCGTTGTATTTACATCGTTCTGCTCAGGCTCTTACTCTCATTATTTGCACTAACTTGAAATGCAGAAGTCTGTGTAACTGAAATCTGAATAAGCTGTAAGTGGGGAAGTTTTACTTGCCATGGAAGATATTTTATATTATGAAGCTTTGTTAATATATACATAAATATTATTGTGCATCAGAAAAAAATTTGCTCAGAAATGCACCTTGCTTTCAGGAACATTTGTATGACTATTCTGGATTTTCATCAGTTACATTTGTACCGGCACTTATGGAAAGAGTTGCAAATAATGTAAATATAAAGACTGGAAAGCTGCAATGCAGTTTTGGTGGAATAAAGAACATAAAAATAAACTATTTTACAGGAGGGGTTATTTAAGTATATTAAAAGGTCACTTATTTAATATATATATTTATTTTTCTGGTGAACTTGAAATAATCCTCCACTGAGAACTTCAAACTTGTGGGTTTAGTATTTTAAAACATTTCATTTTCATGAGGTATTTTTTTTCAGCCATTTATTCTTCAGTTGAATAAGGTGTGAACAAAAATGCATCATGTACGTAGTGTGAACAACAGAAAACATCTGCAAGTATGCAAAGTGGGTAATAAAAAAGTCTCACAGGACAAAAAATGCTTTAAATTATAATGCCATAAATCCAAGGGATATAATGAATGAATTTTGCTGGTGATACATCAGTCTTAAATATCTGGGAAGACTCCAGGGCACAACTGCTACATATTTTTTATTTAAAATCTAATTGTATTGGTCACATTTGCCATCCATTTGTTTTCTCATTTCTTTTATTGCAAGCTCATATGATTGCTTTACAAAGAACCCAGTATCCAGTGGGGGTTTTACAGTCAGATTCAGAGTAATTGACAACACACATTGATTGCTATGCTCCAATCACAATTCTTGAGATTGACTGACCAAGATAATCCCTTCAGATTAAATATTATCTCTACCCTTTCCCTCACTGTGGGCTTCATGAACCCCCTAGTTTCTATGCCCAACACATTTCCCACTACAGAACAGCAGGAAAATTTTGCCCTGGGATTCCTCATCAAATAGCAAAGAGTTGCCTTGTTATCCACAGGTGTTTTCTTCCTTCCTTTGATATGTTCGGTGTATTACTGCATCAGAGCTCTGCAGTGTCCTGTGATGCTCTAAGCAGTCCAACCCACAACTTTCAGAAGTACTTGCTCCATCTCTAGTCCCAGCTAGGAGGTTGTCCTGTACTCTTTGTGATTATTTGGATTGGTTTTCTAACTTTCTGTGATCATGTTCTGTTGGTAAGAGCAAAGTTTTCAAGTCTCCTTCTAATCTGTGTTGAAAACAATATTCATACTGAAAATCCCAGTGGTTTGAATGATGAGAAGGATATCTTTGGATCTCTGTGGGTAACATACTTCATAGAAGGATTATTGGCCGAAACACTTCAGTGGAGGACAAAGGATAAGGCTCACAACAGGCAATCAGTCTCCAAGAAAAGCATTTGTCTTTAGTCCCACTTTGATTTGTCCACTCTGGCTTGCTAGCTTCACAGTCTAAAAAAGGTTTCTTCTTTCTTTCCTCAAGGGACTGAAAAGAATTCAAGTATTTTTAGGGTTTTTTTTCTGAAAATTACTTCTTGTGATATCTAAACTCCAATGACAAGACCTAATTGGGGTTATTTAATAAAATCAAATCTAGTGTGCTAAATCAAGGGCTTCACCTTTGCAAAAATAAAGAAATCTCCCTTCTATTGAGTCAAAAATTGATTAAGTTCCTATCTTAGAGAAGATCCACAGATGTTACAAAAATGCAAAACAGAGATTAGTATGACAAGTTAAAATATTTATGAGGGAAAAAAAGAAATAATGAAATGATTAAAGGGATAAAACCCCATAGTTCTTCTTTCCCAGAAGTCAAATAGCTTAGATTTATATTTTTTTTCTGGAAACAAATTACTCTTTGAGACATTTTTGGCATGTATCCCTTCTTTCTGTTTGGCCCCTTTTTGATGCTCAGTATGCTCTAAGTAGTTGGAAATACACTGAACGTTTTCTAACCACCCCTCTACACATTTGTTTGTCACTACACTCCATCATGATTTTTAGATGCAGGGATGCTAAAGTTAGTAGCAGAAAAATAATGAAATAGCATAACACAGTCACTTTCCTGTTTAACCTGAAACATAATTTGTGAGATCTGTTAATGGTCCTACATTTTAGGAAGCAAGTCTAGAGGATGGTTTTTGGAAACACAGTGAAGAGCCAAATGCCATAGAAGCTGAGAGGAGATGATACACTCAAGTAAATTGCAGTTTTGTCATGTTTTCACATGACCATTTTCTCTTCCAGATTTTCTTTCATTTTTTTCTCATGCAATTAAATAAAAAAATATTTTGGCTTCAGAAATACTTCTGATTATGGCTTTTCCCATTACCATGTTGTCCTTGTATACTCAAAATTTTTGTCTAATTTCTGTCCTGGTGGAGAATATTGGATAAGGACAGAGCCAGCATCTACAGTAGTGCCTCATTCCAATTTTTCCCTCTGATAAACTGTTCACTTTTTTCAAACAACTTCATTCCTCCAGACTTTTGAATTAGAAAACCACTGAAGAAAACCACTGTCAGCAAACACTGTTGTTGGTCTGCCATATGGCTGAGTGAAGGCCAGCAGCATAAGGCCAATAGCATTTTAACCTGAACCTTTGTGAATGGAGAGTACAACTCAAAGTTCAATTTTTTGTCCTTATTCCTGAGACCTTCTTAATTTTTTATCATAATGCTGTAAAAGTTTTCCTCGTCTGTGCTCTGAGTGCTATTCAAATGCAGGACAGAGACCCTATTCTCATCTCAGGGAGGTTAAAGCCACAGAGTAAAACAGTGTGAGGAAAGTGTACGTGAAAACAATGAACTTTTCTTGATTGGTGAGGTGGAAAATTACTCCTTTGTCAGCTGTCTAAATGCATCACTTGGAGATTTGACATCAGAGGGCAAAAGAGCCAAGCAGAGTTTTGTAAGGAACTCTTCCTGTGATGAGGGCTCTCATTGTAGAGGTGTCTTTTCTAAAAAAATTAGAATAACCCAGTGTTGCACATAGGAACCCACACAGGAAATAAGTGATGGTATGAACACTTTTTAGGTGTCAGAAACTGAAATTTTAGCATGGAATGAAGCATTAGTTTTAAAAAGAAAATTATACCATGGAAGACACAAAAATGAGAATAAGGAAAAATGTGGAAAAGATTAACTGCAAGATTCACCTTGGACATGTGCACTGGTCACCTATTGTAAAGACCAGCAAAAGTGTTGGGCAAGTAAGTGGGATGTAAAACCGCAAAATGAATATATTTTTAGATCACATATAAAAGATTTGATTAATGGCTATGTTGGTTTTCAGTTGCAGGAGGAAATGGGTAAAGTTGAGACATTAGATAGATAAATACACTAAACATGGTAAATGTAGGAATCCTAATTATTTCAGCATGGCCAAAGAAACCAGCACCTCACAGACATTCTTTTCATCCCACCTGATCCTCCTTGTCCACCATGGGATCTCTAATTCACCAGGGTCAGTAGCTTGTACTGGTCAGCAGAAATAGAGATGCTGCTTATAGAGCTGTCAGAGTGACCTGGCACAAGGTGGTTTGGCAGAAGACCAGGATGAATAGCTGCCATGCTGGGAAAGGAAGTACCTACCTGAAATATGGCCCACTGCTCTCACCATCCCATTATCAGGGGCTACCTGAACTGGACCTGAGCTGGGAAAGATAGCCATGGAGAAGCAAAGGAGAGGTAAAAAATAAAAGGAGTGAGGGTAGACAGCACTTAATATTCTGGAGTATGGGTTTGAATTCCTTAGGCTAATATTTTTCTGCTGGTCTACATTTAATTCCTTACCTCCTCCATCAGCCATACAATAGCTGAACTTTCCACCCAATCTTACCTCCTCACTCTCTCTATGAATGTGAAAGCCTTATCCTCAGCTCACAGACAGGTATTAAAAAAAAAAAAAAAAGAAAGAAATAAAATGTAAGCCATTATCATTAAAAGTCCACCAAAGAAAGAAGAGGGTGCAAATCATCTGTGAAACTTATATGTAGCTTCACTGTAAGATGATAATTCTTGAATATTTTGACAGACAAATTTATACCATTTTATAGCATGATTTTTGCTTTTAGACCCAAGGACGAGTATTTTTTTTTCAACCATACCAGTCACTTTACTATCCATGTATAGTGTTATTAATGTAATTACACTGCACAATGAGTGCAATTAATTTAGCTTTGGTTCTCATTTGTCCTTATCACTCCTGTAATTCTATGGAAGTGCTTTACTAGTTGCCCTTGCTTTACTAGTTGTTTCATTTTCTTACTTGCAGTATCAAAAAATATTTGTTCCCTCCTATATTTCTTCTAAAAAAATTGTCCTGTCATTGGAATTACTGTCCATTTTTACATTGAATATGGTAATTTTTACATTTTTTTGCATGAAGCAACCAGTTCAAGGAATAATTACTTACTCATTTACTACAAAAGAAACTGTTATCTTTATTTGAAATATTCACTGATGGTCATGCACTTCTTCTTATGAAGCACATTTTACAGTAGTCTTCTGTTCTCTACAATATGAACTCCATTTATGCCATCTGTGTGCCTTAGAACTCATTGTCTGAATAATATACAAATTAAATAATTCCAATTTATGTAACTGATATGTCTTCTTTAGTAACATTCACTATAGTTAGAGCTGAAAAATGAATTTATGTTTTCATGGAAATATTTCACTTCCATATCTCATAAAATGTTAGTTTGAAGCCCCTCTGTACATAAAATGCCGTATGACTTTTCTCATATGCATTGCTTCATTATTATCCAGGTCAAATTTATTGGTTTTATTGTTTCCGTGTCACTCAGTATCTTAAGCTCTGCTAGGAATATTTTACAGGTCAGCTTTTGTTTTGGTATTCAAAGTAACTTGTTATCATCAACAAAAGTACTTAAAATTGATCACTTTTTGATTGTGCTTCTTTAGACTGGGGTGTATTTTGCATCTGGTCATAAGAGAGGTCTAAGAAAGCAAACAAACTGCATCCTTCCCTTTTTTCCTTTTCCCTTTTTTTCCTTTCCCCTTCTATCCTTTCCTTTCCATTTTGAGCCCTGCTTCTCCCAATAAATATGCCCCTGCCTTACCATGTTCTCCCTGCTTCAACTGGAAGATATGAGGATGTATATAACTCACACATTCCTGAATGCAGCTTTGAGTGCTCAGGTAGTGCTATATGGAAATGTCCCTTAAAGTTTTTGTGACTCTAAACTTCTGTAAACTTGAGCTATTTAGGGCTTTCAGT